CACTCTGGGTGTAGTTACGTGAATCGATCACATCAATACTGCATACAGCCCATTACCACTCCGTTCAATATGTAGATATATGCGTAAGGTTTTCAATTCGTAGTTATTGGTGGTTTGTATATGCGAATTGTTGTTATAGGTACATGGTAATGGACTTAATATTGTCTAAGCGTTAATGTTGTGAGTGTATCTGTAGGGACAGCAGAAATAGAAATACAGTCACAATTTCACTTGCAGCGTAGGTATATACAATACACATACCTTTGTCAGCGTAGGTATACACAATACATATACATTTGTCAGCGTAGGTATACACAATATGGTATACCTTTGTCAGCGTAGGTATACACAATACATTGTACCTTTGTCAGCGTATGTATACACAATACATTATACCTTTGTCAGAGTAGGTATACACAATACATTATACATTTGTCAGCGAAGGTTTACACAATACATTATACCTTTGTCAGCGTAGGCATACACAATATGGTATACCTTTGTCAGCGTATGTATACACAATACATTACACCTTTGTCAGCGTAGGTATACACAATACATATACATTTGTCAGCGTAGGTATACACAATACATTATACTTTTGTCAGCGTAGGTATACACAATACATTATACCTTTGTCAGCGTAGGTATACACAATATGGTATACCTTTGTCAGCGTAGGTATACACAATACATTATACCTTTGTCGCCGTAGGTATACACAATATATTATACCTTTGTCAGCGTAGGTATACACAATACATTATACTTTTGTCAGCGTAGGTATACACAATACATTATACCTTTGTCGCCGTATGTATACACAATACATTATACCTTTGTCAGCGTAGGTATACACAGTACATATACCTATGTTAGCGTAGGTATACACAATACATATACCTATGTCAGCGTAGGTATACACAATATGTTATACCTTTGTCAGCGTAGGTATACACAATACATCATACCTTTGTCAGCGTAGGTATACACTATTAGTTATCGCGTATACCCTGCCAAAAATCCGTGTAACGAATTTATTACCCCTTTGAGTCTTTTATAATAAAAACAAAGAAAAATAACAGGCACAGTACCTCATGTAGTTTCGTTTTATCAAATTCCTCGAACTGTTCTTCCTGATTCTTTTCTTTTAAATACGTCCTCAGCATATTTGCCGCTCGTCTGTTCGACTTTTGTGTTTTTTTGTGGCACATAGTTAGCCCTTTTGGCGAGTATTTCCTTATCAGTATGCGAAGCGAAACGTTTTGCCATTTTGTAAACTGCGAAGCAGACGACGAATGCGAGTTGTCTCCCGATGCCCGGCCGCAAGATACAAAGACACGTGACCCGTATACCCCTTGTAAAATCACGTGATTCCACCGTATTACTGCTGAGAAGCACGTGACATGACCGTATACCCCTTGAGATTTTCGTATACCCCCTGAGATTTACGAATGCGGTTTGGTACACTGTAGTTTTTAACCAATCAGATTCCTAGATTTTTCTCAAAGGGGTAATAAAATAAATTAAACCTTTGTCAGCGTATGTATACACAATACATCATACCTTTGTCAGCGTAGGTATACACAATACATTATACCTATGTCAGCGATGACCGTTTCATTTGAACTTCATCGAAGTTTGACCAACACTTGACCTACATGTGGCTGTTTAGAGGATACACAATAAGTACGTTAATTAACTAACCTCAAAAATCATAAAGATCGCAAAATGTTCCGCAATACGGTAACTGTTATTTTAGTGAATGTATTTTATTGATATGTTTGTAAGTAACAATTGTCCTGTTATTTTTCTGTAATAGTCATGTGGACACATTTTCGTTTACTGGTTTCATCATATCAGGATCTGCAGTAAATCAGTTGGTTAAGTTTGGATCAACCTGTCACACAGCCAACCTAGCATTACTTACGTGTACACTCTAAGTCGGGCAGCGACCAGGACCTTGTCAAAACATCATATTTTGAGAAAGTGACAATACCCTTCCCGTCAACACACTCATACGTGACTTTGGCCTCATTCTCACTCAGTGTGTATGTTGCATTGGATCGAACTTGAGGGGGTGTGCCTACAAAGATAACAAAAAGTCAAGTGTAACAAACCGACAGTACATCTAGGTTATATGTTAAAAACCAGAACAAAATATTGAAAAAGAGAAAGTATTACGATTTTGTGCATTTTGATAATAAAAGTGGCGCACAAAAAGAACTGTGTCCCTTCCTAACGTGTAAATAACCTTAAATATCGAAACAAAATGTACAAAGGCATCAAAAATAATGTAATTGATAAGGGCATCGTTCAGATTGATTTGGTATTGGTTTTCCATTCCTGGACAACATAAACGATTGTTGTCAATGATTTCCTTATAGGCATAGTTCTGGTGGTATCAATCAATTCAGATTTGATTGTCAACGTGGACGATTCAAGTAGTCCAAAAGTTCAGACACAACATAAGTATATTGTCAACGTGGTCAAAATATAACATAAAAACGTGACATTGAGGGTTAATCACAGACAGAAAATACGACAATATCGAACATCTGAGAACAATAATTAACTCATTATAGCCATTGAAATTGTGTAATCAATTGAATAGTGGAGGTGGTCTAAATAATCAAGTTTAAAAGCATTGTTGACAAACAAAGAGAAATGACAAAATAAGACAGATCTAAGCAAGAAGAAAGCAGATATATGGAGGCGTAAGTATTGACAGCATTTGAAACGATTACGACTGAAACCTAAGGCCCATTTAGCTTGACGCTGAGAAAAATAAAAAAAATAGCCGGCAAATATTGTGAGCCCAGGTATGATTTGATAATCAGACAGAAGTGTTTTAGTATTAGTATTGTTCTAAAATCACCAGAAGTGATTCACCAACCCATTAACATAACGAACCCCTACACTGTAGAGACACAACTAGGTTTTCATATCTAGGTATCATACGTAGTGCTGTACGAGGACGGAGAAACAGTAAATATAATGCCGACTGATTTGATCGCAATTTTAATGAATTATTCTCAATAACTGTACTTATGTCTACATCTGTCTTCTTGTATGAATTGTACTGAATAAATATGCAAAAATTAAAAGCAAGAATTTTTTTTACATTAAAAGTACATAGTAATTTCTGATTAAAAGAGACCACAGGTAGTTGGATTAAAACAAAGCCATCAGTGATATATTTTTAAATGATTTAGAAGACTATTTATTGGAAAAAAATGTCGATTGTTTACTAAAGATTGATGAACTTTGTCATGATCATATTGGTATGTACGTAAAGCTTTTTGTTATTTTATATGCTGACGATACAGTGTTAATGTCAGAGACAGCAGATGGTCTACAATCAATGCTAAATAAATTTCAGGATTATTGTGAGAATTGGAAACTAACGGTAAACACACAGAAGACAAAAATTGTCATCTTTTCTAAACGAAAGAATACTAACAGATATCGATTTCTATTACAGGATAATGAGCTAGACATTCAAGATTCTTTTCCATACTTAGGTGTTCTATTTTACTATAATG